ATCTAATATCGAAGTCACTAAAATTGATTTTTATTTTTGTAAGGCTTATTTTAAATAACAACAAAGATTATCTCACTTTATCTATCTAAACCGATATTTTATCAAGCAAGCATTTAATTAGGTTTTATTTTAATTTACTGATAAAACTATTCTGAATGTTGGACATTTTCAGAAAAATTTGGAAAACAGTGAGTTCATTTTCTGTGTTAACTGTGTACCACTGAAATGAAAATCAATCGATTTCTATTGTGTTAAACAATTATTGAGAAACAATGTGAAAATTTGATACATTTGACAGTTTGATATGATGATGTTATTTTCATGAAAATTTCTAAATAGAAAAAAAATCATCCGAATTTGATCATACTCAAAAATTTAGCTTTGATACAAAAAAATATTTTGAAATTATGATGCGACGAGTAATTTAATTCTGCTTTCTGGAGTATTTTCATAAGTTGAAATCAAGTTTAGAAGAGTTGTAAACGGCAACAGAATCAATGAACGATGGACTAGGGATAAATTACTCTGTGAATATAATTTGAAAAGTTTATTGTTTAACTGGATATTTTTAATGATTTATTATTTTTTGAGATATTTGGTTAGATCATATATTGATTGTCTTATTTTTAAATGATACAAGAAAGTGTTGGTGTTTGGTTCTCTGAGCTGGATGTTTTGGTTATGGAGCTTTCATTGTTCTCCTGCTGAATAACATCATCAGCACAAACTTCAGAATCACTTCAATCAATCCAATGTAGACAAAAAGACAAAATGAAAAATGAAGAAAAACCAAATATCTTCTACAAAATAAACTACTGCTCAGACTGTGAAAAACACTACATAGGACAAAGTGGACGTCCTCTTCAGCTTCGTTAGTGTGAACACCAATTAGCAGTCAAACACCACGAAAACGCTTCGTTCATATCAATACACACCGACAATTATGGACATACATTCGATTGGAACAATGTAGAAATATTGGATATAGGGGGAGCACAAAGAGGACACTAGAGAATTTTTAGAAGCTTGGCACTCAGGTCAATCAGCAATCAACAAACACATCGACATTAACCTAATTTATCAACCAATCAGAAAATTCATAGGTGAAATAGGACCAAGAAACAGATTAAAAAGGGGATACAATCAAAACAATGGTACAAACAACAACAGGTTTAAGGTCACTAACAACCAATCAAGATCGAGGTTAGCAGAACAAACTACGAGTCAAACGTGGAGAAATTCGAATGCTTCACTTCTATCTGAAGTTTGTGCTGATGATGTTGTTCAGAAGAAGAACAATGAAAGCTTCACAACCAAAACATCCAGCTCAGAGAACCAAACATCACCACAATCATCCACCTGAGCTACAAATTTTCTCCACCATTTCGAAATGCAATAAAGTATCATATATAGAACTTGATTATATATCTGTTTTGCTTGTCAATCGATATGCTTGAAAGTATTACGAGTTCACCTTACTCGGTAAACGAGAGCAAAGACAAATGATCCAGTGACACGATCGGCTATTCTGATTCGATTGTCCTCGGCTCTACTAACTAGAGCAAGAAGTCTTGATAAGGAGTAGAAAGTGTATTCTACAAGCACCCAGAACATACGAGGTTGACAAGCACACAAATTGAGTTTATTTATACATCATAGAAATGTCCTTGGGAGAGCCACAAATACTACACCAAGCAAAAACAGTCAAGGTTTTTCTGAATGGGAAATGTAACCTCAGTATCAGCTGATCAGCGATGCTCGAAAACACAAAATCCAAAATTTTGAATCTTTATCAAGTGAGTTCTGGGGGTCGAACGTCCTCAACAATATCCTGAAAAACGATTCAAATCAGATAAGTTCTCTGTTCAGTCAGCTCGATTTTTGAATACATCGTTATGATTGTTTGATGAATAACGATTTTAACTCTTGGGTAGTTCGTGATGAAGAAGGATAGCATTATCTAACTAATTAATCACCACCACTTTTTTTGACCTCAATCGGTAAAATGTTTCAAAGATTATAAAAATAAAAATTATGCAATAAATTAGGTAATAAGAAATCAGTCAGATGGTAGAGAAACTTTATAGCCCAGGCGAATAGTTTCTTTCTCTGAGCTGAATGTTGTTTGGTTGTTGAGCTTTCATTGTTCTTCTTCTGAACAACCTCATCAATGCAAACTTCAGGTGGATGTGAAGTATTCGAATTTTGATCTTGACTGGTTGTTACTAACATTAAGGTTGAGGTTAACCGAACAAGCTACGAGTCATACTTGGAGAAATTCGATTACTTCACTTCTGCTATCTGAAGTTTGTGCTGATGATGTTGTTCAGAAGAAGAACAATGAAAGTTCCATAACCAAACAACATTCAGCTCAGAGAACGAAACTCCATCACAGAAATCAATCAGATTTATAAGTATTTCATAATCTTGCATCCAGTCTATCCATTTTTATATATAATCAACTCAACAGATTGGTTTTGATATGCTGTATGTACCGAAGTCATATAATAACTCTTTATACTTCATTGTATGAACGTTATGTACTGATGTGGTTTGTTTCATAATGTCTTAGAATCAGTGTGGGATTTTAAATCTAACAACTGATAGTTCCATTTCAACCAGTGTAAACAAATTTCTGCAAACATATGGCTTCAGTGTGAATGCCGATATCTTAAAGGTTAACAACACTCGAGTAAAACTTCAGAAAACTGAAAATATCTAGTAAAACTGTTTGATATTATACATCTCACTGAATGATGAATGAGTTTTATGTAGTTAAATTATTCGGACAGTGTTGGGGATGTTAGATCCCTAAAACTCGCTTGTTAAATGCTTTATTTTGGATTCTACGTTTGCCAGCATGGGCTGATCAGTTGACCTTGAGATTTCAATTCCCACCAGGAAAGTCCATGGCTCTGACTGGCTGCTGTGTATTTTAGTGTGCTATTTTCTTAACTGTCCCGAGGACGTTTCTATGATGTGCAAATAAACGAGAGTTGTATGCTTGATTGTATTGTGATTGCTGGGTGTTTGTAGAATATACTTTCTACGCTTACAAAGCCTCCTTACTTTATTTGGGGATTCAAGGTAGCCTACCTGGACGCTGGTAAGAGTCTCGTTCGCGTTTATCGACTAAGGTAAACTCGTAATAGCCTCAAGCATACTAAGTGACGAACCCAACAGACACAGACAAAATATTTACATCAAACTCCTCCGCTAAACAGTGTATTCAAATTATTTTCCTTTTTCTAAAACTAAACAATAGGGAGAGAGAGAGAGACAACAATCCTGATCGCTTGAAAAAAATTCTCATTGTATTTTTTTGCATTTTATTTGTCATAATTCAAATAGTCAATATATTTACATTTTCGGGTTAACTGGGAATTCAACATTTTCAAAAAAAAGGGCATTCATTCACAATTTTTAACAAATAAATACAAAAAAACAGAGAGAGAAAAAAATTAATGCGCACTGGTAGTTAGGCTTTTTTTTTTTTTCAAAACAAGAAAGCTGTAACAGGAAAATAAAAAGATTGGGAAAAATGTCGGAAGAAGGAAAAAAAATTGTGTACTCCGACTATCTCAAGAAAATGTGAAATATGAAATGAGTAAATTCTACGAAATTTCTGTGTCTACTGACTGCTTTACTAATATTACATACATGTTTCATTTTTTTTAATCTATTTAAACAAGCTGCTTTATAAGAAGAGCTCAATATAGTTTTTGTTTATTTGAAATCTTTCAATGATCAATGTGATGTAATTTTTCATGCGATCCAATTTGAAATTAAATAAAATATGTATATTGAATTACAAAACAAAAATTGTGGGTATTATAAATTTTAACAAGTAATATTAGGAAATCAGATTTTTCTTCTTATTTTTCCTAGAACACTTTTATTATTTCCAGTAATAAAAAATTCGTGAAACAGTGAATCCATTGAATATTGAACAATGTACATAGGTTATTTAGTTTGTTTAAAACTACGTTTAATATACATGTATAGTTTATCTTTATTTATAGTTGATGTGACATTTTTAATTGGTGGTAATGAATAAAGATTGTTATTACGTACAGAAGTGGATTTTTTTAATAATGTTTTATTTAATTTCGACGGCGTACATTCATCATCATCATCATCATCATCATCTGTGGATGAAATAAAATTCTCTTCAGAATTAAATGATTTTGTAAAAGAATCAAATAAATCTATTGACTGCAATGTATGTTCTTCATATTGATCATTGATTTGTTTGTTATGATTAATTTGATTATCACTGTTCATTTTAAATAAAATTCTTAATGATGATGGTTTAAGTTGTTGTTGATTTGTAGTACTGTAATTAATGAAATGAAAAGTTTAAAAATATGCTATTATGTGTTAAATTATTTAATGTTAGAAAAAAATATTATTGGATACTTGAATTGTTGAACAGTTTGAAAGGATTTTATAAATTAATGTTGACTCAACAAGAATCAATTGATAGGACACACACTACGAAAAGCACCTAACTGCGTCACAACACAAGCCATCATATGGAACCCTCAAGGCAAAAGGAAAAGAGGAAGGTCAAGGAACACATTATGCCGAGAAATAGAGAAAGATATGAGAGGAATGAACAAACATTGGACAGAACTGGAAAGGGAAGCCGAGGTCAGAGTTGGTTGGAGAAAACTGGTGGGTGGCCTATGCTCCGTTGGGGCGTAAGTAAGTTGGTCAGAATAGTTATACTCAATCACAAATTCGCTTACTTACTACACTTTCGAACAAAAGTATAGCATCAAGCACTTTCAACTTGTTATGTTTACTCAAGGATTCATCGAAAGTTCCTTTTGGGTTCCAGTGAAAATAAATCAGATGAAACACATCCTCTTGTTTTATAGTTTGATATTTACTTTAACTTTCAGACGCTAATTATTATTATGCATAAAGAGTTGCATTTTCCTGTTGTGAATATCAAAGAATGAATTCAACTAATATTTGTTTTGTATTTAGGATTATTTAGTGAATGCCTTGATATTCCTTGTAGTTAGAGATTTAATTCACAACTCCGCTTGGTGCCCCTCTGGGGCTACTGCCAGTCTCAAGCCCGGATAAAGGGGGAGGGTTAGGCGTGGGGTTGGTGACCTCGCCCCACGAAAAAATTAACTCGCTAAAAAACGCAAACGAGAAGACATAATTCAAACTACTTTAACTGTGCCCTGGGAGTTTGAAGGTCTTCTTTCCGAAAAATGATGACGTCTCATGATGAAAGCGGAGTTTCCTCGGAAGTTACGAGGCCGATGCCTCTTCTCACAACCAGAGCAAACCATTCTTTTAGGTACATGGAACGTTCAAACATTCTGGGAAACTGGAAGACTATTTCAAGTTGCTTCAGAAATGAAAAGATGCAACTTGGACGTGATTGGAATCAGTGAAACGTGGAAGCCCAGGACAGACCAAGTTGGAGAATACTGGTTGGGGGTAACAAGCGTAAGTAAGTCAGTAATTAAGTGAGTAAGTAGTGTATTACCATACTATATATATACATATATATATATATACATATATATATATATATGTATATATATATATATATATTATGCGCACTGCTAAAGAGTCACATACTAGGACGAAACAGCCACCTAGTGCTTCCAGCTTTCTAATAATGGTCCAATAATGATTGATTCAGGATTTCAAAGTAGAATTTGTTACTATTTAAAAATCCTCATCATATTAAAACAACAGAATGTGAACGAAGAAACATTTGTTTCAATGAATTCACTTCAAGTCCTACAGTTGGATATTCAAATTAATAATTCACAGAATGATTAGATTGAAATTAAACTCTAACTTTACAACATCACTTCTATTTAACTACCAGTTAAAAATGATCAATCTCTTAATACTGAAAAATGTATTTGTAATTTATCTATACAAATTAAATCAGCTGACTATTGAAGTTATAGGCAAGTTAAGTCAATGATCTGTTGAAATTTACCTTTTACTTCTAAAGAGAAAATAAATGTAACCTGATAGATGCTTACTTTGTCTCACCTCGAATCAGTTGGTAAATATGTGTTGGTATTTTTGAATTCTCCAATTTCACTGGATTTTTCTATGCCTGTTAGTTTCGAAAGTTCATTCGAAGTGTTATGTTCTGCAAATTCACTACTTCCTAATGTGGATTTACTAGATATTTGTTCATGATGATTCATTTTGTGATCTGCTTGAGTGGTACCATTACTTATACGTTTTGGAGGTTGTGGTAACAATTTAAGAAGAGATGAAGAAGAGTTATTTCGCTCATTTGTGACTGAAATGGTATCCTTCAGTTGGGGTTCACTTCCATTAGAATTTTGTTGATGTGTTTGTGTACAGTTTGTAGGTTGATTTATTGGCTGGAAAAAATTATTTTGTAAAGATGTTTGATCCATAAACTGGCTACTTGGAACTGTTGTTTCAGAAGTCATAGCTTCTAATGGACTATTTACTGCACTGATTGAACGTGGTAAACCTGTTACACCAAATATTTGATCTTGAACACTAAGATTGCTGCCACCTTTCATCGACCAAGAATGTTTTAGTGTTTTAGACTTGTCTTGGGACTCAGTTACCTGATAATATAACAAAGTCAACATTCAAATATCGGACGAGTTATAAATGAAATATATGGGACATTAATTCCAGTGTTTATGTGTGACAGAATGAAAACGAATTATACAAACATAATAAGAGTAAACAACTTACTTTTTACTAGATTGGTACGTCGAAAGTATATGAAGGTTGTCACAAATGAATAGTGGCTTGCGAGGCTTACTTACTTATTCACGCCTCTTACCTACAATGGAGCATAGGCTGCCGACCACTATTCTCCAACTTATTCTGTTCTGGGACTCTTCTTCCAGTTTTGTTCAAGTTTTGTTCATTCTTCTTATATCTATCTCCTATTTACGGCGTAGTGTGTTCTTTGGTCTACCTCCCGGCCATTCACGCTCATGACTACAGGTTAGGGCTTGCCTTGTGACGCAGTTGGGTGATTTCCTTCATGTATGTCCAACCTACCTCAACCACTTCTCCTGACTTCCCCCTCTACTGGAGTCTTATTTCTTCTCTCCCACAGTATGTTGTTCTTGATGGTGTCTGGCCAACAGATCCGAAGTATTTTGCGTAGACAACTCTCAATAACGACTTGTATCTTGTGGATGATAACTTTCATAGTTCTCCAAGTTTCCGCCCCATACAGTCATCAGCGAGACATGTATCAGCATATAAATATGCTTACAGTTCTACTGTAGTGAAGGAGAACACAGGTGGGGCAACCGAATTGTATTAAACGAAAATTACAGAGTTACTCAGTAAAATAGGAAAACCATATCGTAACCGTTAATTTGCAAATCTTCAATCAATCATCAATCCATTGTCTGACATTTCACTGTTCATGCGTTTCATACAAATTCCATTGTGTTTCCGCTCTTCCTTTCTTGATCTTCCCCCATCTTCTGCTGCCAGACATTACGTTTTTACTCGCCTCATATACTACTTCTAAGTAGCTCGCACCACACTACCATGTTCAAAATGAAATGACAATGTGTACAAAAAAGGAGTAGTAAAAGACAAATCATTCATATCGATCTAAAGAATATTCATAGGACGTAAATGTGATAACTATGTGATAACCATTTATTTCTGATACGTCAATCACAGTGACAGATAAACTCTAGTAATTGTGGTGGAGTTTTGTTCACTGAGTTGGATGTTGTTTGGTTATGGAGCTTTCATTGTTCTTCTTCTGAACAACATCATCAGTACAAACTTCAGATAGAAGAACGAAACTCCACTAGAATCATTCACCTGAGCCACAAAATTTTCTTCACCATCTCAAAAACATTAGTGATTTTATTTGGGAATCAGTTTCATTTGAGCGATTACTTAAAAATTACCAACCACAATAAAACAGAGATTTATTGACGAATAAGATTTAAGAGGTAAATACCCCTATACCTTAGCTCATAGATATTATTTATCTCCGACTTGATTCATTTCGTTTCATTTATGAAAATGACTAAATTTCTGTGATATAAACAAGTTTTGTTTTTGAATTAAAGCGAATGCTTTAAAATGAATGTACAGATAGGATCACATTTTTGATAAGTGATAACTACAGTAATAACATTTTTAGCTACAGTTATAATTATCACATAACTATATATAATATATATATTTTTGTTGGGGAACTCGCTTGATAAATATCTTTATTTTGTATTCATTTCATGAACTGATCAGTTGACCTTGAGATCACATTTTTCACTAGGGAAATCCTTGGCTGTGATTGGTTACTGTGTCATTCTAGTGTGCAATTTTTTCGACTGTCCCAAGGACGTGTCCATAAAGTATAAATAAACGCAATTTGAGTTCTTGGTTTCATCGTGTGCTGACTGGATGTTTGTAAAATACAATTCCTACGCTATATCAAGACTTCTCGCTGATACAATTTGGTTAAGGGATCATAGTAGCCTTCCTGGACGCTGGTTCATTGTTTTGTGCTCGTTATTCGACTAATGTGAACTCGTAATAGTTTAAGCATATACCTAGAGACGATCGTAACAATTTTATTGACTTGGATTTTAAAGTCGAGTTGAGTAAATGTAAGAATTATTTATAAGTTAAATAAAAGCCCTAGAAATGGAATATCATATAGTCAGATGGAAGAGTTCGTTAAATTTATTTACACTTGTGGTGGCCGGTGTTTCTCACTAGATTTGTGGCGGTTGATATTCGATATATATTCTTAAACTTCGTATACTGCTTTTCTTGATAACCGTTACTAGATAACGCCCAACAGTGTATAAATCGAAAGACGAATATGAAGCACTGAACGACTTTATTGTCGTACCACTATCAGACCAACAAACCACAGGCACACAGAGCAAAAATCGATATGCGAGTGCCGAAAGGGAAAGCAAGCGAATGAGTGAGTTAGCGAATTGAACGGATAGGATTAAAATGTACATATATATATACCTAGGAAAATGAATGAGAGTCATTTAAATATTTAACATGCTAATATTAAAGCGAATAGGCAGAATATGTTGTACATAAAAGGTAAGCAATTTTCAATCATACGTGCCCACACAAACCTGACAATAATAAAAGTCAATAGTACATATAAGTTATTGCTATACGAATAACTCACGTAAAAAACGGTAATCCTAAGGCTTAACCAAATTAACTATGAACAAACTCAAATGTTTGTGAGGTACTACACATTTTTATTATACCGTACTGATTTATGACCATAGTATCATAATAACACGAAACTCTTTTATTTAGATAATTTGAAATCACTTAGTAGTTAGGAATTTTTTGTAATAACACAGGTTTTTAAGCAACTGACGAGCATTAAATCAAATCAAATGAATTCATGTTACTCTGCTCAAATGTTTGTGCGTACTTTCTTCATTATAATAAAAGGAATCATGTGTATGGAATGAAACTTGTATTATTACAAGAGTTAATTTGTTTAAAAACACAAGGAATCTACATAGAATCCAGATAACTTTACTAATACTCAAAGAGATTTGTTACAATGTTATACTCTGATTACCGAAGTCCTTTAAATGGATTTATATCCTTTGAAAGAAATAATAAATTCGTATACTTAAATGCCTGACTGATAACTTAACCCTTGACTCTAATGTTCATTATTCATACTATTCAGATCATAATCAGTATGACATTTTATGGTGTAGTACCTTCAGATACATTTGAGTTTGTTCATTTTTAAGTTGCTTAAACCCTTTTAATTTGTAAAGCAATAACTTATGTGTACTATTGTGGCGTTATTGCTGTCGGGTTTTTATGAGCAGGCTTGACTGAAGATTGCTTACCGCCCATGTATAACATATTCATCCTATTCGCTTTAATATTAGTCTGTTAAATATTTCGATGACTCTCATCTATTTTCCTATGTATATATAAAAGTACATTTTAATCTTATTCATTCATTCTCCATCTCGCTTATACGTTTGCCTACCCGTTTTGGCACTCGCATCTTGATTTTTGCTCTGTGTACCTGTGCTTTTGTGGTATATTTGTGGTGCACCAAACGTATTAAACATTTCGTACTCCTCTTTTGATTTATAAAACCATGGGGCGATATTTAACAACAGTTGTATAGACTAGCAGCATACGAAGTCTAAGAACATATCGAATAACGACCGTCATGAAATTAGATAGGCACCGGCCAACACAATGGCCAACTGTTTACCACTAGAATTCTATTTTCAGTAACTCTTTTTTTTCAAACATCATCATTTCTTACCTCTTTTCTATTAGCTAATTGTAAGAATTCATCATTTTCTATATTACAAATTTCTTTATAATCATTATGCGGATTATTTGAATTTAATATCTTAGAATAATCATTTATTGAAGATATTGGAAGACTTGATTTATTGGATGCATATGTTGAATATGATGTATTCATTGAAGGTCTCAGTGTTGTATTCATTTCTTCTATTGTACCAGTTAAAGCGGATATCGATCGAGGCATTCGAAACGGGTTAGAGTTGTTGCAAGTTTTGTAGCTTGTTTCATTATTCAAATTGGCTGGTTTATTCCACCCGGAAAAAGACAATGAAGATAGGACATTTTGATCGATTATGGATTTGTTACCGGATTGAACACTGAACGAAGCTGAATTAGGCAATAAACGTCCATCTGAATGATACTATAAAGTGAAAAGATATATATGTATATATATATATATATATATACTAGTATGCGAATAAAATTGTTTACAGGTTTACTTGTTAATCAAAATAACTTCATGGATACGAATAACGTTAAATAATATGTCTTTTTCTGTGCAGTAAATGCATAAACTGTAAAAGTTTAACACATAGAATACAACATACCCCTTGTCTTCTTACAAAAAACACTTATTTCTAAACAGTGGTTCCCTTTGATAAATTTGAACAGAGAAATGAGAAGACATATTTTGTGAGATAGTACCATTTCGTGCTTTCTCGTCAGTCACATACAGGCAACATGTTATTTGTGTAAATACAGTTTTGAAGATAAGGTCAAAATTTCTTATTTAGCACGAGATTCACTCACTAGAACCATGGTAAACAAAGGTCAACATACAGTTGTTTTTGAACACATAAAGTTGGACTTTTCCGACCAATCAAGATAGCTTCAAGTAGTTTGAGTGTGTGTGGGTTTTGATGACATGTCACAACTCTAAAGGCTGATTTTGGGTCAATTTGATGACCACTCATCATTAGATGTTTTGCAATGGACGAGGCTGGGTTTCTTGATCGATTTTGAGATGACGGGCTAGGTTGATGAATCATGGATTTGATTAACTATTTTAGAATATGTTCCCCTATCCTGTCCTCCAATCGGCGATCTGTCCTACCCAAGTAACTTTCTCTGCAGTTACATGTGAATTGGTAAATACAGTGAGATTTAGACTGAATCGGTCTTGGAGACTTGATTGGGATAACTGAGATCGATTGAGTTGTTGTAATAAGCCCCATTCCCTATTGTGTAAATCATGCTACAAAGGACCTCAGAAGTCAAGCTGTTCAACTGTCGAGCCGTTTCATACAATTTCTACTAACCGTCGATGTTTTACTCAAATAGTGTGCACAGATGATTTCTCCATATTCATTCCATCTGAGAACATTAAAATACTATGCACAGGTGGTTGATGATTGTTCAAGACTTGCTACATCTTTTCAAATTTATTAATGTGGCTCACTGAAATGAATGGTTAGTATGAGAAGAACTAGTTTCTTAAGCATATCATGTTTCAGTGCCTCATGTGTGCTGCAGTGTGTTTTCGCTTTCTTAAACAAAGTTTGTATGCAGTTGATTTTGTGGGTTAATGGGTTGTTGCTACCGTAGTTGAGAATTACGTCTGTGTTTGTTTGGTTTCCGAACTACTTGAGTTTCTAGTTTTACTGTATTAGTTCTGGTGTTTATTACACCCAGGAATGATAGGCTGTTGTTTGATGCCTTTTCCATCATGGAAAAGGAAAAACATCGTATGACTATCCACGCAACTTCATCAGAAAACATCAACCAAAATCGTCAACAGAAGTGAAATCAAGTACAGGAACCAATAAACGGATCATCCTACCATACATTAAAGAACATAAAGCACAAGTACTCACACCATTAGGAATAGGTGTAGCACGCAAACTAACAGAATCACTTCAATCAATCGTATGTAGACCAAAAGACAAAATGACAAAGGAAGAAAAACCAAATATCATCTACAAAATAAATTGCTCAGATTGTGAAAAACACTACATAGGACAAAGTAGACGGCCTCTTCAGCTTCCTTTAAGTAAACACCAATTAGCAGTCAAACGCTACAACAATTCTTCGCTTATATCAATACACACCGACAATTATGGATATACATCCGATGGGAACAATGTGGAAATACTGGATAGGGGAAGCAAAAAGAAATCTAGAGAATTTTTAGAAGCTTAGCACTCAGGTCAATCAGCAATCAACAAACACATCGATATTGACCCAATTTATCAACTAATCAGAAAAATCATAGGTGACATAGGATCAAGAAACAGATCACAGGGGGATACAAGAAAAAAAAAGGTGAAAACAACGATAGGTTTAAGGTTAGCAACAACCAATGAAGATCGAGGTTAGTAGAACTAGCTACGAGTCATATATGGAGAAATTCGAATGCTTTACTTCTGTCTGAAGTCTGTGCTGATGATGTTGTTCAGAAGAAGAACAATGAAAACTTCACAACCACAACACCACCCAGCTCAGAGAACGAAACACCACCATAATAATTAAGTAATCCTGCGTTATATAGTCAAGAAGTTTGAAGTACCTGTTGTACAGTACTAATAATCATAAAACTATTATGAAAAACCAGTTAGACTTTAATTAAACAAAACAAGTGGTCAGGGCGATGTTTTCACTTCAAATTTAACTGTTTTCAGTTAGCCTACTAAATTTATAACAACTAATGCATTTCAACTAGACATTATCTACCATGTTTAAAAATATCAGTCCTGTTACGAAATTCATATACAAAAAAACATTCACCAGTGTAAATGAAATTCATGTTGATTAGTTAACATGTGTGGAAGTATTCTTCGTTGAAAAAATAGTTCATATTTTGAGTTACTTTGTTTGTAAATATCAAAAAACTATCAATAAATATGACCATTTTCATTGGAATACGTGGAATACATGGTTGCTAAACTGTGATTTATTCATATGAATGTGTTTGATCTTGTTTAGTCACTGTTACTTTATGAATAGGAAGTAAAATCTTTTACATTAAGTTTATGCTAACAAGAGAATAACTGAATAAGATATTACGATTCTTTCATCATTCAGATGAATTGCTGCTTTTCAAGTAGTCACGCCTGTTACCCTCAAAAGGAGCGTAGGCTACCGGCCAGCATTTTCCAACCTGCTCTGTCCTGGGCCTTCCTTCAAGGTTCCACAGAACTGCTATTCCTTCATTTCATGTCCGACTTCGATTCTTGGCGTAATTCATTCCTTGGTCTACCTCTCTTCCTTTAGTCTTGAGGATTCCGAGTGAGGGCTTACCTCGTTAAACAGTTGCGTGATTTCTCCAGTGTGTGTCTTAACCAACTACAGCGGTTTTTCCTAATTTCTTCCTCAACTGGAATCTGGTTTGTTCTCTCCCACAGTGGGTTGTTCTTAATGTTGCCTGACCAACGGATTTTCGACATCTTGTGAAGTCGACCGTCAGTAAATACCTGTATATTGTGGATGATGGCTTTCGTGGTTCTCCAAGTCTCTAATCCATACAGTAAAACTGTCTTGACATTTTTATTGAAAATTGTGACTTTGGAATTGGTTGATATTTTTTTTCATGTTCCTAATGTTCTTCAAATGTAGAAATATTGCCCACGATTTATTAATCTGTGTCTCCTTAGTTGGATCAGATCGATTTTTTTTTATCAACGATACTGCTCCATCAAGTTTGATTTGGTTGGTGCATGTTCTGTTGCCCCGGAGGATCATGTTGTTTCCTTTGTGTATGTTGAGACCTACTGCCGCAGAGACTGCTAATACATTCACCGTGTGTAAGATAGAAGTGCTAGATCATCAGCGAAGTCCAGATCATTCAGCTAGATTCGAGCTGTCTAATATATCCTGCTGTTCCCTTGATATATTGACATCTCAATAGTCCAATCAACCGCTAGACTAAATGTTAGTCATAACAAATTTATTTTCTCCTATACAACAAACATGATTTTCAATGAATGACCAATACATTCATCTTTTATTGATCAAAATGACTGTTTTTTTTCCCACAGAATACTTACTTTATCTTGTCCAGTAGAAAATAATTTATTATTTTGATTCATTGACATAATATTTACATGAGTATTTTTAACATTGTTTGCATTCATCGATTCAATACACGATTTCTCCTGGTCCATTTTATTCGATGTCAATAATTCTAAACGTTCTAAACGATCAGACATTTGATTTAACCATGTACGTAAATCCCAATTTTGACGTACTAATTGTTTAATACAATGCTTGATTTGAAATAAAAAATTAATCAATAACGGGAAAAAAAACATAATTAATTAATTTATTTTCTAGTTAAATCAATCAAAAAAAAATGAATATTTCTGATAAATTTAAGATCACAAATATAATTATACTCAATATTGCATCATTTGAATATTTGCTGACAGCTTAAGACTACTGAACAACTGCTCTTTCCTATTCTAATATGATAACTCTATTAAGGTTTCAAAGAGAAAACGTTACCGAGTTTAAGCATGAGATGAAAAATCCAATGAATCACAACTATAATTTAAGCTAATTCACAATGAATGTGAACACTGGAACGTAGGTTTAAGTCATTCAGTCAGTCAGTCAGATGCAACGTAGAACTTCGTACGTAAGTACATCAGTTCATGTTGCCATCATGTTGCCACATCAGCACAGAGATGTAATTGTCAATTCAAATCCAATAGTAGTAGAGGTAGTAAAGGTATTAGAAGTAATCGGAAAGGTTAGGATTAGAAGATATTATTCAAGAAGTATGATTAAATGAGAAAAGTTTAGAAAGTCAAAACTAGAGGTGTTGAAGAATCCAGAAGGTTAGCATTTGAGAGAACACAAAGAATAAATGCACCGTCGCCATTGCGAACGATTTTGAGCCATGTCATTCAGAGTCTCTAATCATCGATTATTATCATCTCGCGGACCCCAACCACGTAGCCTACACCTACCGATACGACTCAGTCCACTTGTCAATGACTTCGTTGATTTCTGCCATGTTTTGGTTTGGCCGCCCCTAACTTTCTTCCAACCTATTCCTACACTACAAAACAAAGCTCGTCGAGGCAGTCGGTGGTTAGGCATACGCAGCACATGTCCCAACCACCTCAACTGATGAAGTTTCACTACTTCATCTATTGATCTGCCATTCTTATCTAGCACCCGTCTCCTAATAACAGCGTTGCTCACTCGGTTGTCCCACGATATACGAGCAATGCTTCGAAGACACCTATGATCGAAAACCAATAACCGACGAGTATCTTCTACTCTCATTGGCCATGTTTCACAGCCATAAAGTAAGACGGAGCGAACCACTGCGCAGTACACTCGTCCTTTAGTCAGCAAATGGATATCTCGCCTACGCCATAAGTGACGCAGGTTGGCAAAAGCCAATCGAGCCTTCTGTATCCGTGTCGAGATTTCGTCAGTCACCAGACCATCAGCACTGATGAGACTCCCAAGATAAGTGAAGCGGTCTACACGTTCAACTACTTCACTCCCTATCACTAGTTCAGGTGCCGTTGTTACCCAATCTAGAAGCAACATACTGCATTCCGAAGGGAAAACCGCATCACGAACATGCTTGCATTGTTGCTTATGGTTGTCAGAAAACTGCATTTTGTCAGTGTCTTCACCAAGTAGGACAATGTCATCGGCATATTCTAAGTCAATAAGCGAGCCTCCTGGTAGGTTTAAATGTAAATTCACTGGGAAATCTAGTCTCTGAGATACCTTCAATCGAATGCTACACACTAGTAATCCGGCGAAATTGATGTTAGTGAGAAATACATCTTTGATCAAGTCTCAATTTTACAAAAGTTAGTACACAAAAATACAGATGATGAATAATTCGAAATCTACGACTACCAAACTATCGAATGACTAGCAAGATAGAATATAATCAACCTCAAACTGTAATAATTAGTGTTTAAAGCTCTTATCTAGTTGCATAATAATCTTTCAGATTACCCAACCTGACAAATTTACATTATTCTGTGAGTAAATTTATATTAAACACTAAACTACTGTGTTTGTCTCCTAATATTCCATAGCTCGTGTTCTCATACATCCAAGTTTTTATTATAGTAGAATACAAACCAGCGATAATTTTTACAGGGTTTTTGTGGTGATTGTTGAATTCCCTTAGTTTAAATCACTGACCGTGATCTCAGTCAAACGAAAATAAAAACCTAACAAGCATTGAACGGCCGTTTTTTTTAGAGTTTGGAACTCTTCAACCGTGATAATCTTGGAACATATGATGGTTCAGACCAAAAGCCTTTCAGTCACTGAGTCAGTACCCAGCGGCTCACATTTGTAACTTCATAAGTTCATGCATGATATAATGCCATCATATTTTAGTGTCACTGGTAAGTATCTGCCTGGTAATAGACTCTTACTTCATGTAAAGCAATAACCTCTCTTTGTTGAGGGCTCTTAGCAAAACCTGAAGATCCTAGGTTCGATCTCTAATAATATCATGTGTATCTTAGTTCCGTGCAGTCTCAATATAAAATGGGACAGCTTCCCAGTGCTGTGTTTCAATATGGTTGTATAATTTAGGTCAGTCATTGTATCAAAATATTAAAAAATCAATACTTTTTATAGTTGGATATATATATATATATCACGTGACATATTTACATAACCCTACTTGACTTGAAGGTAAATTATGAATTCATTTATTTACTTTATTATCAATATACACTGATCAAATAAGGTGAGGAAAAATCATGTAACCTTGATAGATTATATTCTTATATGATACTGCGAATAAATATTGGATACTAAATCTTGGTTTTACCTGATGCAAACTGGTATCCACAGAGGAATTAGGCAGTAACGATTTATTTGATTGATATTGACAAAGACTATTCAGATTGGTCATTTCAGAGAATACTGTACCAAGTGATTTATGTTCAGTGGATAATGTTTCAGGAAATGTATTGTCAGTCAACAGGGTGTTGGACAAATTATTTGGACTTTGTAATGAACCTGTAGTATGAAGAAAGAAATGAACAGTTAGAAAAGTATTGATTTTTCATGTTCAATAATCAACATTTCAATGAACAGATTGATGAGAGTGACATCAATCAATCAATCAATTAAATCAATTTTAATAAAACCCTTCAACTGAAACATATTTTGTTCGGTACGTAATGTATGATCTAGTAATATGATTGAGCTCAGAGGTCTAACGGTTAGGGCGTTCGCGCACAATATCGAAGGTCCTGGGCTAGAATCCTGCGGGCTGCAGGAGTCGTAGATGCACACTGCTGAGGAGTCTCATACCAGGACGAAACGGCCGTCCAGTGCTTCCAGGTTTCCAATGGTGGTTTAACGTTGGTCGATTCATGGTTTCAAAAATGTGTAATTAACTAAATATCAATTCCTTTACCTCATCTACTCAGTCCTCATATCAGTCAAGGGTATTCATTTTAGATGACTTTATAATGTGAGTGTAAAACTGAGGAGTAAGGACAGTATTCAAAATTGCCCCCCTTGAGCTGAATAATGATCTTCAGCATATCTTAACGGGCATTTTCGGACAGGTGTTTTATGTTCATAGATTTAGTAGGAGCTAACAGTGGTCACATATGCAAAAGGCTATCAAACATCAGTAATTCAGTGATGTCAGATTTCTCAAATTTAGATCATAACTTTCAGTACTAAAGTGTTATCTACTTGATCTTCATCAACTATAATAGTCCCGAAATGATGTTATTGGTGACTGAGATTGTTATTAACTTTTCTTGTTTTCTCTCTATGGAAAACGATCAGCCTAATTGTTAGAATAAAATAATATCTGAACAAATTACGCTACGAATAGAGATAACAGGTCTCTACTTAGGTAAGTTTGTTTGCCTTAATTCTAAACGGTATACCAAATCCTTAATGTAATAATATATTATATTTCGTTTTGATAAATGGTTATTGAGTCCAATCAAAGACATATACTGTCAGCTATACATTGTTCATCGTTAAAGAATGGAAATTTACTCTTATTTCAGTCAGTGTTTGCAGTCAGTTTACTTTTGAACAACAACTCCACAATTATCAAAGGTATTAACTATGCACAGATAGAATTTGCAAAAATTAAATATCATCCTATTGTAAAACTGAATATACCTTGACTAGGTGTCGTTTAATTATTGAAGTAACAAACACTTACTTAACACTTTTTAAATCATCAATCAATCATTGTTAGACCACCATTAGAAACCTGGAAGTACTGGACGGCCGTTTCGTCCTGATATGGGACCCATCAGCAGTGCGCATCCACGACTCCTACTCCCCGCAGGATTCGAACCCGGGACCTTCGGCATTGTAGGCGAAGGCCTTACCATCTGACCACTGGGCCGACGTCCAACGGTGTTACTTAACACACCAAAAATGTACAACATAAGAAGCTGTAGACTAAAAAAACATCAGACATTTTAAACTTACTTTCATTGAGCAAATCTCTAGCAACATTTGTATCTAATGATCTACTCTGATGCATTCGTCTTCCTTGTTCTAACAGTAACGATGTGGAAGCAGCTGTATTACCAGCAAATAATGATACTAATTCTTGTGTAAATAAATCAGTTTTCTCATTTCTATCTTCACCGGTTTGTAACATCCAAACTAAATCACGAGTTGTTATACTTGTTTTTAATTTAGTACTTTTACGTGTATTCGAAGTTGGCTGTTTATGATGTTTATTACAATGTTCACGTCTATGACGAACACGTATTTTCTCACCAGAACATACTGAACTAAGTGAATCATGATGTGATGTAGAATGATCTGATAAGATACGACTAGGCACAGATGAATTAGATGTTACCGTTCGCCTAGAAGATTTTGACATTTCAGAATGTTCTCGTGAATGACTATGAACACATGGGGATGAGTCAGTTTCCGAACCACTGGAATATCTTGATGTACGTTTTTTTCTTGAGGATTTTACTTTATGACCAGTTTTCTCTTGTTGACTAGTTTTATTTTGTACAGAACTATTCAAAGGTTTGCCTACTTCATGATCAATATCGATCAATTCAATGGATTCATTGATCAATTCCACTGGTTCTATATCAACCAATGTATTGTCGGTTTTGTTTAAATCATTTGTTTTATGATGTTTATGGGATTTTTTTAATTCATCCTCTTTTTTATTGACTTTTTCAACATCATCCCCAACATCATCCTCATCAACATCATCCTCGTCATCGTCATCATCATCATCATCTTCGTCATGGTGTGTGTTTTTCTTCTCTCTATGTTTTTCCATTTTTCGTGATTGTGATGTGGAATTACGTGCATTTTTCTTTGCACTAACCGATTTCACCGGTTTACTTGTTTTATCTTGTTTTAACTTGTGTTTTGATTTAGTTTTATGTTTATTTATATCACCATTATGTTTTGTTGATTTATTGGATTCATCTAGTTTATTACTGTTCGCAGTAGTAGTAGTAGTATTAGTAGTAGTATGAACAGTAGTATTTGTGGATTTTTTATCCGATGTTTCTAGTTTCTCTTGATCCGAATCACCATTTACATCAATATCATTATTATTATTATTATTAACATTAGCGTTATTATTGTCTTCAGTTGTTTCTAATTGTTGTTCTTGTTTTTGCAAAGCTATTCGATGACATACATCAAATGCTTGACCAACTGTTCGAACAATTCGCATAGCTTGTAACTAAAATAGTTAGAAACGAATAACATAGATATCAGTGTTATATACTGAAGAGTGAATGAATGGAATATGAAATGTTGTAAAAATAGCTCAAGTAGAAAATATCGATAAATAATTGCTGACCCAATTGTGGGAATGTGCTTATCTGATTCTTCTAAGAGTATGGCATACCGACTTGTCAAATATCCATCATGTTAATTGAAAAGAAAATTACAATTCAAACGGGAGCTTGTAACGATTGTTCTATTCAAGTTTAGAACAAAGTAAAATCAACAAAAGTTTCTAAAGAGAGACCATCAAGTACACGTTAATAATTGTATTCAAGTCTGAAAATCTTGATTAGTTTAAACTTTGGACAGTGCACTGGAGCGAACCCTCAGAGCCCTTCAGCTACCATATTAAGTTCATTTTTAAATATATTGATTTGTTTACAGTGTTGTGTGATCATCATTTGACTCTGTGAATCACTGTGAAACAATCAAATGGAGTGGAATTTACTGCTTTACACTAACTTCCTTGACTACAAGAAAGCATTCGACAGCGTAAACAGGATGACTTAGAAGGACTTAGTAGACACTGCGGCGCGCCTGAGAAGTTAGTCAACATTATGGATTAAATCACAAAATCATGCTCGGAGGACAGCTGACAGACTCGTTCAAAGTGAAGACCGGTGTCAGGTAAGGTTGCTTACTATCACCTTTTTCTTTCTCCTAGTGGTCGACTGGATTATGAAGTCTCAATGGCTCAATGGAACCATGGAAAACAGCTGACAGTTCGGATACAGCTGGAGGATCTACACCTTTCAAATCACCTCACTCTTCTATCCAAAATACAACAACAAAAGCAGATGAAGAGTGCCACTGTAGCAACAGTGTCCACAGCGTTAGGTCTCAATATACACAATACAAATGGTAATATCTTCAGATACAGCACAGAAATCAACAATCCAACCCCATTTGATGGAGAAGTTTTGAAAGATGTGAAAACCTTTACATACCCACCTGGGCAGTATCACAGAAAAACAAGGTGGATCTGATGCAGATTTTAAGACATGGATTGGCAAAGCAAGGGCAGCATTTCTACATGTGAACAACATCTGAACTCAACAAGGACTAAATCCGAAATTTTCAATGCAAACGTCAAAACGTTCCTACTTTAAGGAGTGAAAATTTGCAGATTTACTAAAACCATCATCCAGAAGACACAAGTGTTTAATAACAGTTGCCCACGCACGATAGTAAGGAATCTGCTGGCCACTTATCGTGACAGAGAACTGGTCAGCTTCTACTAAAAGAATAAATTAGGAAACTCCCTGTAGGTGGATAGGTCACAAATTGCTGAAACCGCCCAACTGTATCATGAGGCAAGCCGTCACTTGAAATCTTTAAAACTGAAGGAAAAGAGGTAGACCAAAGAACACGCTGCGCCGAAAATTGGAAGCAGACATGAAAAGAATAAAAAGTGATTGGGTCAGAACTTGAAAGTAAGGCTGAGGATAGAATTGATTGAAGAATGTTGGTTGGCTGTCAATGTAATTGATGATAGGAATATCAGATATCTGAAGGAAATTCTATTTATTTTTTAGTTCAATAAATTCTACAAAACAGTTTATTTCCGATTATAAACATTCTTTTTCACATGAAATTGTTTTTACATGGCATATTTTGTTTTTTTTTTCAAAGTGAACTTATTTTTCATTTAACTATAAGTCATTTTCTAAATTCATACAATATGTAAGACCAATATGATGTATATTATTTTATGGACAAATATGACAGAAATTTTTCTAAGCAACATAAATTCTTTGCGGTTTTAGATAAAACAAAAGAGGATTCTTTATTGTAATAAAACACCGAAAAAGGATTTTATTATATGAATTAAATAATCTAAAAGTTATTGTTTTGTAATGGTTGGCTACATAAAAATAAATAATTTGTGGCAATCTGATTTATGTGAACAGTTGAAACAAATATATCTTTATATTGATTTCCTAAATAATATATATATATATATATATATATATATATATATATATATCATTGAAAATGTTTATTTTCATTATAATATAAAGTTATTTTCGCTGAAACATAAGAAAACATTTGGCTTCAGGCATTAAAAAAAACTTGTTAATAACAACATTCTAAATCTATATTCAAAATTTCAACTGCCAAGTTTTCTGTAAGTAATTCTTGTTTGATAAGATAAATTGCATGATATCTAAAACTTGGAAGAAATCACAGTTCGACTTATGAAGAACTTTGAGTAAATCGTATAGCTGTAATGTATATAACTCAGCTGCTTTAATGATGAATGATGAAGTTCTGATGAAATTATTCTCATTTTCTTTAGTTCCCGAAAAGAATCATTTAGCTGTTCCTTCTCTTTTTAACTGAAATCTGAAGGAACTTGGATAAATAGAAATGACAGATATTGAGAAGAAATAATTCGAAGTCTAATGGGAAAATTCATGATTCACTTTATGATTTTAACATAAAATAACGATCTCCATAATGCGAGACGAAAAATGTGCTCGCTAGTGACTAGTTTCGTGATGAATTTCTCAGAGTTGTAGTTAGAAGATGTGACCAATGGAGTCTAACTCTTTCCGTTTTAGGATGTCGGATTAATGGTCCAGGGGTTAGGCGTTCGCGAAAGTCCTGGGTTGGAATGCTGCTAGTGGCAGGACGCTCACTGCCTATGAGTCTCTTCCAAGGATCAAATGACCGTCCAGTACTTCAAGGTTTCTTACGGTGGTTTACCAATCATTAATTCATGATTTGAATGTGAAACTGATCTGATCACGTATTGTCATTGATAAACCTGAGTATTACTTATATCATTTTATGATAAAAAAATTCTTTCAGTTGAATAAATGACAGATGATCATACAGAGTAAATAAAACATAGACAAATCCATTAAACTGATATGTTCTTTTACGAATCTAATCGACTTTGTTAATAAGCTACAAAAACTCTAAATAAGTTAGTGATTTTTAACATGAGCATCACATAAATAATCACTAACTTTGTGGTTGATCAATAAGATTTAAATATTTTCTTTGGAATCATTAATTATTGTTGTTAGATCACCATTAGAAACCTAGATGCACTGGGGAGCCGTTTCGCCCTAGTACGGGACTCATCATGCACGACCCCTGCTCAAGGGAATCGAACCCCACACTTTCGATCTCGCAGGTGAACACTTAATCCATAGACCACTGAGCCAGAATCCAACGTGGTTACATGACTAAATTTAATCAGTCCAAGACCTAAATTGGATGTGTCAGGATTTATTGATTGGATTACAAAAGTCTTATTCCATAATGTACTGAATTCATAAAAATATAAAACACTGTCTGTAGATTGTATTTTCGTACAAAAACAGCAGTTTGAATTAGCTTACATCACAAAATAACTGAAACTAGTTAGCTTTTGAAAAGTAGAAACAAATGGGCAGCCGCATCTCTCTAGCATAACTCATCTTATTTAAATCCCGGTTGTGTTCATTGTATTTACATGCCTCAATATCAAGCTAGAATGCAAGAGATGGTCATGGGCCTTCCAGTTTTCAAAGGCTGACTAGCTTTAGTTATTACATGATGCAATCTATCTGAAAACAGAATAATTCTCTTGAACTTCTCATTGTAAAAATAACAAAATTTGTTTATTGCCTAAAAATTTATTAAACGTGACTTACTTTTTTGTAAGCCTTAAATACATTGCATCTAAAGACGCTTGTTCTACTATCTCTTGCTATATAACTGAATATTTTCAAATCTTGTGAGTCATGTGATACATAGAAAATTCTGTAAGAAAAACAAAATAAATTGAAATTTGTACAAATGTTTTAAACAATAAATAATTATTTAAGTAGTCGTATTAATACTGTTACGCAAGTCACATTTCCAGGCTAAGTAATTTTGGCAAAGTTTCTGATAAACATATCGATTATATGATAATTAGACAATTACAAATTATCATTATAGGGTTGTGGAGTTGGATAAGCTTCGTTGAAATCATGGATCGGAAAATGTTAGATCACCATTAGAAACCAGGAATCGCTGAACTGACGTTTCGTTCCATTATGAGACCCCCAGTGTTTCCAGGTTTCTTATGGTAGTGACATATGACATGTCACTTTTCATGAATAAAAAACTATGACCAAAAAGTACGTTTATTTTATAGATCTTTTTTATGAAGAGAGCATTCCAGTCTAACACTAAACATACAAGCTTACATCAATTTTCAGGACCTCAATTTTAAACTCATTACTTCGAAAGGGCTATTTGGAACTTTAAAACGAAGTCACTTCAAATTTATTTTTAAAAACTTATATATGCTACTTATGAGTAGATTCATTTTTCACTTTAAAAATCCAGTGAAAATATATTTCCCTTACCTGTAAATCGGATGATATAATAAAAGATTTGATTGATGTATACAGTCAAGCATAGACGTATCTCTTAATCCTAAACCAAGTAATCCACTACCAGCTGCTGAAATGGCATCATACTCTCCAGTTACACCGTTTGACTCTTTCACTGATGTTGTATCAGTAGTAGTTAAAATTTCACTGAATACTCGATTACCGGGAATTTGTGAAGATGAAATAAATGTTCGTGATACTGGCCATCGAATTCCAAACTAAATCATCAAAAAAAGAGACGAAATTACAAAGATAATAATATCTAAACATTACTGTTAGGGACGTTAGATCTCCAAAAGGCACTTGAAGAAGTTCCTAATTTCGGATTGTGTGTTTTCGCGCATGGACTGATCAGGTGATCATGAGATTACATTCCCCACCAGGGAAGACCTTGACTGTTATAGGTTGATGTAGTATTTTAGTAAGCTATTTTTGTGGCTCTCCAAAGGACTTTTCTAACATGTATAAATAAACTCGATTTGTGTGCGTGTTGACGTCGATTGTCCGTGTGCTTGTAGAATACACTTTCTATGTCTTATCAAGACTTATTCCTCTACTTAGTGGGGCCTTGGGACTCTTAGATTACAGCAGCCTATCGTGTCACTGGATCATTTTTCTTCGCTCTCGTTTATCGACCAAGGTGAACTCGTAATAGCATTCAAACATATAGATTGACGAACATGACAATTACTGAAGTGAGCGAATTAGGCAGGAGACACTGAACACCTTATTTTGAATAAGTCGACAAATCAACATAAATGTTTGTTTGGTCAATCTTATTGGATCATTTGTTTAAAACGGCTCATATTACCAGGATTTTCTCATTAACTTGATTAGATTCTCTATTTGAATAACAATCCTAAGGTAAGATTAGCTTCTTATAGCTCGTAATCATTACCGATTTGATTGGACCAACTCTATGGCATACTCTTTTAACCGGAACTATTTTTTTACAAGCTGTCACGTTTACCACCCAAATATTTCAAGCCATTGATAGTTTTTATTAAAAACAAATACATATCCTTGTTTGATTAGAATAAATAAATCCACCTTACTAGGACAATCATTATAAAGGCTTATAAAAATGAAAAAAAGATTACATCTTCAAAACATGTCAACATTTTCATATCACACACTCAACTAATCTCTTTTTTCACTCCTACATCTTTCATACGACTGAGCAGCTAGTTTTATAGTGAAAAAGATTTCAGGTGAATCTTGAATGTCAAAATTCTCACTAAAATGTTTATTGTTAGTAAAATATTCTTCTTTACTCAATATATACAGTCAAAAGTAAATTATTTAGATCAATATATCAAAAACTAATAATTTTTTGTGAAAAATAATCAATATTACTGTATGAATACAAATAAACATTTCGTAATATGAGTCGAAAATAAATACTACTTTAATGTTCAGTAAGTAGTTCATTGTAGTGGACAGGAAATTTGAGATATCGGCTTCATGATATTTAACGAAAATCAATAAGTAATGTCTGTAATTATACTGAGGCTAGTGATTTGATCTTAACGACAGCTAGTTTCATAGTCTAAAACGTTACCACTGAGCTATTCAAGCTACAAATGACTTTCTGTGGAACTAATGAGGATATTGACAATTGATCAACTACTGAGCAATAGCGAATACCATGCTTGTTTAGTTCATTTAGCATTGATCAGATTGATGTGTTTCCAAATGAATTTATTAAGATTAATTTCATCACGAAATATTGGATAGATGTATCAGCCGAGCTCAAGATTCATCAACAGTATTTAGCTGAAATAACACAGCTACCCACTACTTTCTATCATTTAAAATAGTTTCTTAGTTAATGTTAAATCGTAATAAATCAGAATGTATTTGTTATCAACAGTAAAATGAATATGTGTGGAAAGTTTGAATTGAATCAGTGCGCGTAACAAATGTTCAATGAATTTAGGATATTAGAAGAAAAAATATATTAATAAATTCTGTGTCGATTATAATTTAAATTACAAACTAATGAAAGATCAGTGGAAGTTTACAAAGGTCATACTAGTAAACGTTAATTCTCTACATTTGTGCTTGTAACAAACTTCATTAATGGTAAGTTGTAACCAGTGTAATGCAAAGAAAATATCCGATAAGATGTTACATCAATCAAAACAGTAATAATAATAATAATAATGGTCCCAAGCCCAGATAAAGGAGGAGGGTTGTGCATAGGGTTAGCGAGCCCATTCCGTCGAAAGCGAACACGCTAAAAAAGCGCTAACCAGAAATGGTTGACGGTCTATGCTCCATTAGTGGTAACAGGCGTAAGTAAGTAAGATAGTAAGTGAGTAAGTAAGTAAGTAAGTAAGTAAGTAAGTAAGTAAGTAAGTAAGTAAGTAAGTACGTAAGTAAGTAAGTAATTAAGTAAGTAAGTAGGTAAGTAAGTAAGTAAGTAATAAAACCATCTAGTGTTGAACAACTAGAAGTGCAAAAAACCTGAAAAAATGTTTCAATAAAAGAATGGGACATAAGACATCATGATGTGAATTTAGAGGTCAAGAAAAATTATGCTATCAAATGTATCCATGACTAATTTAGTGTACGGTAGATGTAGTTCAGAACTGTTTGATTAATGAATTAGGACTTCAGTTAAAATTTATATTGCTTCATCTGTTTTTTTGATGAGATATTTTCAGTTAACCAAACATGAAAATCTGAGGTAATTACTATTTCCTTACATTCACTAACATACTAGAACTATACACTATAAACGCGAGCTCAGTTATTGGCACTTTTGAAGTAGCTGACCTGATACGCATAAATTGATCTAAGCACTTAGGGACAAATAATCTTTATTTTTTTGCCAATACTGATCTTGTTTGTCAGCGAGATAAATGAATTGAATGAACTGATCGTTGTTCCAGAACTAGCAAGATTTCCATATAGATTTTTTCAATTGTTACTATTTTACTAACTCATTGTCTGCAAATTTATTTGAAGGGCTTCCTATAATTCTGCCAAACCTTGTTACAGATTGTTTCTGGAGTACACTTAATCGAGTATGTGACTGCGATATTAAAAAGGTCAGTTGTTTTCAATACAGTTGAATCTATTGAAATAAACTTTTACTATAAGTTTACTATAATGATGCGTTATAATTTTGTTCTTTTTAATAAAAAAAATTTTCAGAATTTATTTCGATTTAATATTATTTTCATTTCAGATACTGACAACCGACCTGTAAACATTGGATCACCATCAAGGATTAGGCAAGCATTTCTACAAGATAACAACATCTAGAACTCAAAACAACTACCAACAAACACCAAAGTCAGAATTTTCAATATAAACATGGAGACAGTTTTGTTGTATGGAACGGAAACTAAGAAAACCATCGAAGCCATCATTCACTAGAAACATATGTTTATTAGCAGTTGTCTAATTGAGATACTGAGGATCAGTTGGTCGGACACCACCATAATGGGAAAGAACAAACCAGAATGCAGTTGAGGAAGAAATTAGGAAAAAGCTCTGTATGTGGATAAGACGTGCATTGAGGATAGCACCCGACTGCATCAAGAGAGAAACACTCACTTGGAAACCTTAAGGTCGAAAGAAAGGTGGCAGGCCGAGAAATGAAGACAAACATGAGAAGAATGAATACACGTTGTATAGAACTGGAAAAATAGGCTAGGGACAAAGCAGACTGGACAATGCCAGTCAGTGGCCTACGCTTCATTGGGGCTAACAGGCGTAAGTAAGTCATTCGTTAATTAATGAAAACCGAAAATATTGCCTGAAGTATTTTAGTAGTAGTAAATTTAGATGATAACTTGCAATATCAAATAACTTTCGAAAAATTCGACATAATTATCTTTTCAAAATAAAATAACGTCTATCATTCACTTCTATCATCAAAAAGAGTAATTAAGTTTTAAGTATTAAATTGTTTCTGTAGAAGAAGTTTGATGATTTTTTTTCAAAATAAAAATAAAACAGCTTCACCAATGAAAAGAACTAACTAACTACACCATAAACACAGTATACATTCATATTTATCAAACTGTACCAATGAAATAAGTATTCGTTACACTTTATCAAAAAAATTCTCTTTAATGACAAATGTGAAAGACACTATTTTCATTGAAAAAGGCACCGATTTTCTCCTGTTGTTGTTTTATTCTCTACTTCAGCCTTTTTCGACTGTTGGATGAATATCAGTTATCCCGTCCGTCCTTAGTGCCCACTACATCGTTTATCTCCTATTAGATTAATTCTTTTCTTTCCCTTATTCATTTATTTATTTCTGTAATCAGCCCTTCTCTCCCTCTTTACTTCAGTATTACTACATAACAATACACAATTAAAGGTTCATTCTACTTATCATCAAAATATATTTATGAATTTATTCAAAGTAGTAATACCTTGACTATTTTATTTCGAATAGTCAATTATATCCCAAATGTAATTAAATGAAAACTAGTTTACTAACAAAGACACATACACATATTTAAGCCTAAGAAATTAACTATACAAAGGTATACACTATCTTGGTGGTGGAGCGGGTAACACAAACAAAATCCAACATTTCTAGGCAAATTTAACTGTTATACCATTTTAATTGTTGGATTTGTCGAAGAGAACAAACCAGATTACAGCTCAGGAAGAAATTAGGAAAAAGCATTAGGTATGAATAGAACATCCGACAGCATCACAAGAGGAATCCTCACTTGGAATCTTCATGGTCAAAGACAAAAAAAGGAAGACCAAAGGAAAACATGACACCGAGAAATGGAGACGGACATGAGAAGAAAGTACAGCAACTTGGTAGTATTGGAAAGGGAGGCTGAAAACAAAGCAAGCTAAAGAATGCCAGTCGGTGGCCTCCTATGCTTCATTGGGGATAAAAGGCGTAAGTAAGTCGTTTGTCACATAATGAAAACCGAAAATACTACCTAAAATATTTCAGTAGTAGTAAATTTAGATGATAACTTGCAATATCAAATAACTTTCGAAAAATTCGACATAATTATCTCTTCAAAATAAAATAACGTCTATCACTCATTCACTTCTATCATCGAAACGAGTAATTAAGTTTTAAGTATTAAATTATTTCTGTAGAAGAATTTTTATGATTTTTTTCAAAAAAAAATAAAACAACTTCAGTAATGAAAAGAAAGAACTAACTAACTACACCATAAACACAGTATACATTCATATTTATCAAACTGTACCAATGAAATAA